TGTGTGTGTGTGTGTGTGTGTGTGTGTGTGTGTGTGTGTGTGTGTGTAGTGCTCCGTAACAGAAAGGGAGAAAGGGAGAAGTATGTGCTGAATGAAGGGGCCCCGTCCTGCCTCTTGGCCAGTTTGAGAAACCATATTCCCCGTCGTCTGCCACACTCTCTGCCACATCCCACCTAGGCCTCTAAGCGCCCAGGCCTGCTTCTCAGGGGATAAACCAACCCGCACCCTCCCGTGTTCCTAATCTAGAAAGCGGCAGCTCGGAGTGTCGGACACGATCACACAGAGATAGCCAGCGCTCTCGTTGATAATACTGTTTATTGTCCACGGACCGAGCGGTCACTCGAGAATGACACAAGGCATCGGAGACATGCGCTGTCTGCTTGTCGACTTTCAACAACTCTCACGTGTTCCCAGCACAGGAAGGTCTCAGACTTCATATTCCAGCAAAATCACATTGCCCCAAAAGTAAAAAAAAAAAAAAAAACGAACAAAAAAATCCAAACAAAAACGAACAAGATCAACAAAGCTTTAAATTACGGCGGCAAGTCCGATATTTCTTAATACTTATCAAGCCAAGATTTGGAAATAACTACAATGTAAACTTTATTTTAAATATTTTGAGTTGCTTGCAGAAGTATAGAGGGAGGAAAGAGCAGTGCTTAGAACATAACATATAAATTAAACAATGCTGAATGCAGCCTTCTTAAACTATATATATATGGCAACTATTTACCCTTGAGGGTATCTGAGTGGCTTCTCTCGGCCACCACCAGGTACTTCATCTTTTTTTTTTTTCTGCTCAGCATGGCTACAAGACGGATGTGCGTAGACTGAATATAAAGGCCATCTTTTAGAACCAACCTACTCAAAGATTCTTTGCCTCGTAATAATTGGAACTGGAGAACAAAAGATGGGAGACGGAAAATCAACGATACTCAAGGAACTGAAGAAAAGGTCTGAAGGAATCACCATCATAGGCTAGCTACCGCGCCATTTCCACTCTGGGTCCACTGCTCCCACGATGCAGAAACCTTTGGAAAAAAAAGGTGCGAGTCTAACCCCTACCAAGGGTAATAAAAAATACAGCACAGGAATGATTACAACTGATGTCAGAAACAAACCAACACATTTAAAAAAATCGGCAGAAACAGGAGTAAATGTTACATATGATAACACCGTACAGGAAGCAGACGGGGGTGGGGTGTTATACTGATTGGAGGGTCTGGTGTTCTCGTATATACTGAAATCACAAGGACTGGTCCATTATGACATCTTACAAACTTTCTATCACTGTACAGCATGAAGACGCCCTTGGAGCGGGCCGGATTCCTGGAGAGTCCCCTAGTCTGCCCTAGAAAGGGAGTCATCAGAATCTGTGCTGACCAGGTCCCGGGTAGGCATGGGGGCTGCATGCCACTGGTGGGGGAGGTCAGGAGTCTTACAGGTGCTTTGGGGTCACCGCAGAATAGAGCAGGCTTAGAAGATGACTTTGGAAGAATTCTGCAGAAGGACCACTCCCAGGCTGACAGACTTCAGTTTCACTGTGTGTGTTTGCATATAGCGTGCATGATAAACTCAGAACAGTTTATCTTTAGAACACAAGTGGGAAGAAAAAGGAGATTATCTTTACTGTTGCTGAGAAATTTCTGCCTCTGCTAACTCCCAGTTTACTGGCATCAGGAAACCACCTTTAGGGAACAGATAGGTTCCCTAGTTCCCTATGAACTTTCTTAACCGAGAGATCTTCGTAATACAAGAAATATAAGCAGAGGTGGGTACACTTGTAATTTGGGTTCACATATTCTCTAAAAATTCATCTTTAGAAGAATGTCTCTTAAAGCTGGCCACAGAGTCCTGGAGGCCCAGAAAGCAATGAGAATTCTACTGACGCCACCTCCCTCCCAAATCCGTCCTTCCCTGGGGAGGACTTCATTCTACGCTGCGTTAACTTCACTCTCGGGAACCCCCGCATGGCACAGTGACAGTCAGTCTTCGAGGGAGGTCATACTCTAAACCTCTGGCACCTGCTTGGGGGCCTCTGAGGCGTGTTGGGGGACAGAGCGGGACCCAGCTTTTGATGTCCTCAGGATGTGCAGACGGCACAGCCAGCTCATGCCACCAGCCACACACAACCCCTCGCCAAGCAAATTCGCGCCCCTCCACCTAGATGCCGGAGGCCAGAAAGAGAAAGAGGGAGCGAGGGGCCTCAGCAGCTCAGTAAGGAACTACAAGGGCAGCCAAGCCCCGCCCCCGCAAATGTCTGCCCCAGGGCAGAACGTGGCAGGTTCCGCCAAGGGCTCGGGTGTGTGTTGGGGGCCAGGGATGGGAATCAAAGGACTTGGCTGGAGCTGAAGCTCCTTGTCCCTGCATCGCTACAAGGTCTGGGAGGGAGGCTCCCGATGGAATTCTGCAGATTAATACAATTAACTGGGGCTCCATTAAGAGCAAGCCACCGGTCCAGGGCTGCTCCCAGACACACAGAAGTCACAGGTACTGGGAGTCCGTGGTGGGCATGGGGGAGTCTGCGGGGGTACAGGGCACTTACAAGGGGCAGGGGCTGCCACCCTAGGGCCAGAGGTGGAAGCTGCAGGAACTGAGGGACATGCCCCTCTCAAGAGGAAAGGGACCTGGTAGGCCTGCTACACAGTCTGGCAACGACCCTCAAAAGTTTCTGCAAAATGCACACTTCCAGGCTCTGCCCTGACCAGGCTAGGGGACCCTTAAGTCGCTGCCTGCTCAGCGTTTGTGACAGTGCCAAGGCTGGGCCTGGGAGGGAAGCCCGAGCGTCCTGCCCCTGCCCGCGCTCAAGGATGGGAGACCGAGTTGCGCAGTGTCCAGGCTGGCGGGTGGGGTATGGGACCCACCTCTGCCTCCAGACCCACAACGATGTTGAAAAGGAAAACGGGGGTGGGGAGGAGAATCACACTAATTTAGACCCACTTGGATGACTGTTTTATTCATGCTGTTTCCAGGAAGGGATGTCGGAGCTGGACCAGTCTGAACTCTTGGAGGCTTTCAATTGGCCACAGGGGTGCTGGTGGCCTGCTTACGGGTCCTCGATGTCCAGAAACTCCTGCTTGGGGGGTGCCGCTCCACGGTACCACGCACAGGAGCCGTCGCTTCTCTTGATGCAGGCGAAAAACTTGGCCTGGTGCCCGTTGATGCTCTTCTCCGTGACCCAGTCCATCCAGAGGCACTCGTCCGGAGAGGAGATGTAGCACGGGATCATGGGGCAGCGCGTGATCTAGGAAGGGGGACGCAGAGGTGGATTCAGTCAGGGACCAAGGCCACTCACGGGGGCATCTCCAGAACCTGGCAATGCACCTGGCGAAGGTGCTCGAGGGCAGTTTGCAGAATGAATGACCAAGTGAGTGCACCAGGAAGGGAGGGAGCTGGGACTGGAGTCCAACCCGCTCCATCAGTAGCCTTTCCTGAGCCCCATACTCTCCAAATGGTAGTAGGCAGCCTGCCCAAGGCGGGACAGTACATAGTCTCTACACCCCCAGCAACTGCGAACGCTCCTCCACTTTGGGCCATCTGGTCTACCTTCTCTGAGCATAACAAACTGGCTTCAGCTCAGCCCTGCCCTCCTGGGAGTATAACAATAATAACAATAAAGGGTCTTGAATCTACTGGATAGGTTCAAATCAAATTAAAAGGACGTTGTCTTGCTCCCAAGCACGCATGGGTTTAGAGGGGATCAGCAAGTAGCATTTTGGCAAAAGAACCTGAGTTCACAGGAAGGTGAACACCTTCAGGCTAAGCAAGGAAAAACCAGGAACTCGCTTCTTAACTTCATGTTGGGCACAGAGGAGTTCGCTGGACCTACGTGTAGCTGTAGGTCGGAATTCACGTTCTGAACGAGCTAAGGACAGGAGGGCCCATCTACCAGGATGGGCAGGAGGGCGGCACAAGCAGCGCCAACCGGCAGAGGCCAATCCCCGCAGCCTCACACAGGGCTGCGCTGGGCCAGCATCTTCGGGACCCAGACTCGCATCCTGTGCTGGGGCTGGGGGAGGGGCAGTGCTGATGTGTCAGCAGACAACACGATGGGAGCCCGCGGGCCGTGGAGGAGATCTCACCTTCTACGGCTGCTTCTAAGCATTAGCGCCGCTGTAACTGTGTTTGGTGCAACCTCTGGGCCGCTTTAAGAAGAGGGGCTGGGGCTTCAGCACACAGACCCCACATTTACACGGACCCATGCATGGAAATGGCTGGTATGTTGGCAAAAGCATAGCACCCGGGACACTCTTTCACAAGGCACACAATTCTCTGCCCTTGTACATTTGTAGAAAGATACTCCTAGGACCATGTTCTCCCCACGAAACTCCTCCTCCTAGAAGGCTTCCTTCCTAGAAGCCACAGGCCACATGGTCAGATTCCCCTCACCTCCCAAATGTCCCTGGCTGGACATCCTCACTTGTGGGTAGGCCACACCTCCCCAGAGCCCTGGCCTAAGTTGGGACCCCAAGGACTGAGAGGCCCAGGAAAGCCAAGGATCAAATCCCAGCAGTCCACCCACCTGGAGGAGGTGGTGGTGAGGCGGAGCGTGGGAGGAGGTAGTGGCGGCTTACCTTGCACTCACAGCCCATCTGGTACCTGTGGTTCAGGCTCTTCTTCTGGGTGGTGCTCAGGGTGTCCCAGGGCACGATGAAGTCGCAGAGGGTGATGTGCATCTTGCCGTTCCCCTCGGCCTTTCCTGAGTAGACAGGGGTCACCAAGCTCAGGACGAGTCCTGGGTTCTCATCCTCCTCCTGCATTTGGATGTGGCTTGGGCATAGGGAGGGTCAGTTCTGACAGTACCGTGTGCTGTGGGCTCAGTTGTGTCCCCTCCGAAATTCAGATGTTGAAGCCCTTACCCCTAGCACGTCAGGATGTGACTGAATTAGGAAAGAAGGCCTTTCAAGAATTGATTAAAATGAGGTCATTAGGGTGAATCCTAATCCAATAGGACTGGTGCCCTTATAAGAGGAAGAGATTAGACACAGACAGACAAAGAGGGACGACCATGTGGGGACACAGGGAGAAAGTGGCCATCCACAAGCCACAGAGAGAGGCCTCAGAAGAAACCAACCCTGCCAACATCTTGATCTTGGACTTCCAGACTCCAGAATTGTGAGAAAATAAATTTCTGTTGTTTAACCAGTCTGTGGTTTTTGTTATAGCAACCCGAGCACACTCATACACTGTGGAATATTTATTCTGAGTATAAAGAGAATGCAAGCTCACTGTAGAAAACTTAGAAAAGGTAGGAAATAATTTTTTTAAAAAATTTATTTATTTATTTATGGCTGTGTTGGGTCTTCGTTGCTGTGCACGGGCTTTCTTCACTGTGGTGCACAGGCTCCTCGTTGTGGTGGCTTCTCTTGTTGCAGAGCACAGGCTCTAGGCACACAGGCTTCAGTAGCTGCAGCACGCAGGCTCAGTAGTTGTGTCTCACGGGCTCTAGAGCGCAGGCTCCGTAGTTGTGGCATGTGGGCTTAGTTGCTCCACGGCATGTGGGATCTTCCCGGACCAGGGCTCGAACCCGTGTCCCCTGCACTGGCAGGTGGATTCTTAACCATTGCGCCACCAGGGAAGTCCGGTAGGAAATAATTTTTAAAAACTTCTCTCTTTTCATTACCTAGAGCTAAATTTTGATGCATTTCCTTCCAATATTCTTTTATGCACACGTATTCACACACACAAGATCATGTTGTACGTAGATTGTATTGTTTCCTGGTTTCTTTCCACCAAATATTTATTCCTAAGCATTTCCTCCATTTGATGTTGAACTTGTAATTCTGGGTTGTTCCGTTATGAACAGTAAAAATAGAAATTTATAAAATCAGAAATCTGCCCTGAATTCCTTTTATTGGGGATGATGAGATGCTGTGGTACCTTAGGCTCCTGACTCAGCCCCCTTCCTCCTTTTGTGAAGAGTTCTCATTGGTGACAGCCCGGGCATTAACTGAGCAGGAGAAAAAGACAAGCCAGTGTATTCTGGTGACTGACAGAACCTAACGAGGGCCAGGGAGGTCGTCTAAAATCTTGTCCCTCCTGCTACAATGGCACCTTGTCAAGAGGCACAGATACCCAGTGATGACACCAGAGCCTGGCAGAGAGCGACACGCGATTCCCTCAGAGGCAGAGAGGAGCCCCGGGCTGCACCCTGAGCGCCTCGGCTTGACAAAGCTGCAATGCATCCGACTTAATGATCTCAGGCATAGCCCTGGCCACGGACAATCTGCTAATAGAAACATAGCTCAGCGAAGCACTGATGCAGCTTGTCGTCAACCGTGCCCTGTCGGGAGGAAGTGAAACAGAAATCTATTGCCAGGGGAAAGATGAGATGGGCTGCCTGAGGCTGCGAGCGGCACCAGTGACATCCTCTGCCACCTGCCCATCCTTTGCTGGGCAGGTGGCAGGAAGCAGTCCCCAGGTATGAATTCTCATGCTCTTACCTCTTCTTTAAACACGCCTCTTACCTTCAGGAGCTCTATTTTTCTTTGTATCTGTTTAGAGTTGTATGACATTCCAGGTAAAGAAAGGTATCAAGGAGCAGAATGACTACTGTAGCATTCATTCTGATCCTAATAACTAAAAAAATATACGTCTGGGTGGCCTTAAACTTCAAAAATAGCTATTTTTTTTCCCTAGGCCTATAGCTACTTTCTATGAGTTCAGAATAGATGAGGAGCAAAATGGACAGATGGCAAGTAACTCCTTCCCACAGCCTGGTTTCTTCTGGCATTTACTACCTTGCCCAGGCTGGTCATTCATCAGAGGCAGGCTGAGTTCTCAGACTGGTCTCTCCCTCCAGACTTCCGGAGCAACTTCCACTGTGTCAGGTGACGGGCACCAATATCCCACTTCACATCGTTCTTTGCCTTTCTTACGTATCTTGTTCCTTAACCAGCTCATAAACACGAAGGGTAAGGGTTGTGTCTTAATCCTTTTTTATCCATAGTTCCTTGCACATAGTAATGGCTCAATAAAAGTCTGCTGACGATGGCGTGGGTATCTGTTCTAACAATGTGCTTCATTATCTTTTTCTTGCTGTCTTCCTCTTTAATCTTTTCACCACCAATTCAAACTTCCACAGAGGGCATAGAGATGAAATGGAAATTGTATAGTTTCAGTGGTCCCAGTTACTGGGCTCACATGAGCTTTAACTGTCACGTGTAAATGGTGTAGCATCTCAGAATGTTAAAAGGCGACCCCTTTCAGTAGAGGTAATTAAGACTTGGTTGGGCACGTGAGCATCTGTCTGCCTTCGAAAAAAAGCAAAGTCTTTCTTGGCTACAGAAAAACAGGAATTAATTAAAATTTGTAACTGAGGGTTGTATGTTTATTTTTCCTTCCGGAGGAGAGGACTGTAGAAGAAAATTACAGGGCCGATTCCATAACAGTTCCTGAACACAAGCGTCTCACGGAGCCAACTCAACATGTGAAGTTGAGTCATCAGCCCAGGAGGAGGTGGGCTGCCCCAGGCTGTGTGGTCACTCCTGGGGCTGCAGCCAGCGCTGGCTGAGTGGTTTACTGTGCCCCGTGATTCTTGGTTAGCCCATTCCGACTCCAGGAAAACAAGATCTAGAGTCTGTTCTTTAGAAATTAAACAGATTTGTTCCAGAGCTGTCTCTCTGAGCCAGGGAAGGAAGTCAGATTAGAGAGGTCCCTCTGTAATGGGGTGAGTCAGCCGCCAGTGGAAGTGCCTTTTATTAATCTTATGTTCCATGGCCAGTTAGGGCACTAAAATGTGTCCCATGTCACTTGCTTGCTTCCAATACTAAATGTGAGGTAGTCGAGATGATAGGCACACAGTCACCACATGAATTTCCCTTCAAGTGTTTTTAATTTTTATTATAAGTGGAGCTACAATTTGGATGGTTTCATGTGTAGCAAGCTTCTGAAATGTGTGTGGCAATTACTTGTATAACTGTCTTCTCATTCAGCCTGGGGACAATTGAAAGGGCCTGTGGTAGGAGCAGCACAGGTCACATACATGTTCCATGTTAAATAGCACATACGAACGGCTGAGCTTCCGCGTGGGAAAAATATCAATGTTATCACGAGTGACTTGAAATCGTGAGGCTTTCTGCACTTGACTCACGATGCTCCCTTTGGACATGAAGTCCTTCCCTTTCAGAAAAGGGTCTGAGCACAACTGATTTTCCCTCCACGTCCCCCAAAAGAAAGAAAAGCAACCACCAGGAAAACAATCACCACGCGGCCACCACGTGGACCTCCGCTCTTGTCCTGGACCCATCTGCTAAGCAGCCCTGCGGTTTCCTTGCACTCTCGGGGTAAGCGGAACGGGGCAGGACCCAAGCCCCACGCTCCACGGAGACACTGCTGGGGCTCCTGACTGCTGGACATAAGCCATCTCCCCATCCTGCCTCAGGATCCGGCCAAAGGGCCCCATGGTCTGGACCACCCATCTCGTGGAATAAAGGGCGGTGCCCCGCTCCTCAGAATCTCGGGGCAAGAGGCAGGTCTGATTGACTGAGAAGGGCCCCAGGAGATGAAATAATGTCCAGAGGCTACTGACCTCGAGGGAGGTGACCAACCACGGCTGCTGGGGCTCAGCTCTCCTGAGTGTGTGCAGACTGGCTATTTGGCACCTCTGGAACAAAAGGTCTGCCTTGACCCAGAGGAGGGCAGGTTCTCAGTCCTGGCTGCACACTGGACTCTCCTAGGGAGCTTTACAAATGCTGATGCCGGGGCCCCACCCCTGGAGATTCTGCTTGAATTGGTCTGGGGTGCCGCCTGGCCATCAGGATTTTTGCAAACTCCCTGTGGAATTCCAACGAGCAGTGCATGTGGAGGACTGCTGGGTTAGGCGTTGGGGCAGTGAGACTTCGAAACCTGGACCAATGATGGAAGAAGCAGAGTGTAACAGACCCAGGGGTCAGGCGGACCAGGGTCTAAATTCCGGCTGCACCATTGCACCACTCCCCGGCAGCGTGACGCTGTCAGGCGTGTGCTGAGAAACGCCTGACCAGCAGCTCTCCTGGGAGGAAAAGCTCTGGTGTGTAGCGTTTGCCCTAATTCTGTGGTGTAAATACTCCCCCTCTGGCCAATTTCAAGCTGCCACCATGACATCAACCGAAGTTTAACAATCGGCTTGAAAGTGAAAGTGGGTTCAGGCACACACCACGGGACCTGGGAACACGGCTCCAGCCTCTACTCCTCAGTTTTCCTCATCTGTAAAATGGGGATAATAGGGGGTAGTGAGGATTAAATGGAACCCACATGGAAAGCATTTGGAGAACGTCAGTGCCAGGAAAAGGGCACTCCTATTTCTATTAACAGGGAGCTGGTGAAGCCTGATGTAGAGGCCTTTAAGACAGAGCCTCAGCGTGGGTAAGGATTCAGCTGGGCATGTCTGGAAGCAGGTCCTAGCCCACACTGAGGTCGCTTTTCCACCAGGAGCCGCCCACGACAGGATGCAGGCTCTCCCTCCTTGAATAAGGGCTTCGGCAGCTCTGCAGTTTGGCCAGACAGCCCTTAGAGGGCAGTGTGGAGACTCAGCAGGATGGCTGAGGCTCTCATTTTAAAGGGTGTTAGAGACAAGGACAAAAAAAG